ACTGTACAAAGGATAAAAGATATTTGGTAGCAATAGACGTATATCTTTCTAGATAATATATGTGTTAAAATACCAAAAGAATATATATATATATATATTAAAATTTATTCACCACCTCAAACGTTTTAAGCACTGACTATACAACGTTAGTAATACTAGACCTATTTATAAACAAATTTAAGCATTAGGCCTAATACATAAACGTAACATAAGGATTAGCTGAAATACTACTTGGTAAATTTTATTTTGCTTTTGGCTACATCGTAATGTCATAAAACTTCTGAATTAAACTATTTTGCTGTTACATCAGTGAATTTATCCAAAAAGTATAGAATAAAAACAAACATTCCTAACCAATCAACATGAGCATTGAGCATTCAACAAAACACCATAGTTGGCTTAAGAAAAATCAGATGATAGTTTTCGTTGCTAATCGACGATATATATTGTTGAGTATTACCAAAAAAGGAGCGTGAAAACATTCTCGACAGAGTGATATATGGAATAACCATTTTATAGTTATATTTCAATGATAATTATGTATATGTACATCAGGAAGTTTTATTTTTGTAGTTAAAGATGTGTACTTTTAGAGTTTTTACCTGCATATTTGATACATATTTAATTTTTTGATCTTTAATTAATGTAAACCTCAACTTTTAAATATTTAAATGTCAACTTCAATATTTTCCATGGTCTTTGTAATGATTCTTTTTCTCATGTGGTTCTGAAGGATTTTATATATAAGTTTAAAAGTTTTATTGTGCTATAGTCTATTTAGTACTATAAGGTATTGTTGCATTGAGCCTCGTATTATGTGCTGAGTTAATTTAATTTCTATTACAACTGTTCTCAGGTAATGTTTGAACTTACCTCGATTAAGTTTTGCTCATCTTATTGCATCATGGTAGTGTTATGTATCTGCTTGTTTTGTTAATTCCCGTTAGAATTTTTTCCGAGGATACAATACAGTGATACAAGTCCCTTCTTTATTAAACCAGTTTATTCTTCCTCGATACAAACTT